GGTTAGCACCCCTACCAACTATACCCCAGAAAGCTTTGAAGAACTTGCCAGTAAAGCCATCTGAACCTGGCGCCTGCTTCGATCCCATAGAGAATATTGTATCCCTGATTTCCTGAGGGAGGACTTCAACAGTCAGGTTTGCATTCATTTCCGGAGTAACACACACGTCTATGGGAAGGTCACCCACTCTCTCATACATGTTGTCAATCTGGTTTTCGGAAGTGAACAGGGATCGGTAAAAATTACTAGCAATATCTGCCTTCCCGTGCTCCTCCGTGATCCAATCCCCTTCCCCATTGTACAGACCAAGTACAAAGTTTTGCTTATGTCGAGCCCTAGTGACCGTGTGGAAATATGCCGAGTTTTTATCCCCCTTCTTAAGCCATCTAACGCGAGATTTTTGTTGCCAATAACTTTCCTCAGCCTCCCATTGCCTATTCAACTCAGATTCCAGACGGTTCACCTCTTGCCAATCAATAGGATGAATGGCTTTTACCCGATCAATCTCGCCTTGCAAGGTATGAATATTACGCAGAGAATTCGTGGTACCAGCTCTACTCCAATCATACAGCAAATGTCGGAGTTTCTTCAACTTTTCCCATAACTGGAACATAGGGGTACCAGGGACGTGCTCTTTCCAAACGTACTCCACCATAGCCTTAACTTCGGGATTATTCGCCCATCTTGCATCAAAACGAAACAGAGGGCAACACATCCGAGTATAGGGCTTGTCCGAGAGTAGGAGAGCTCTATGATCAGATCCCTGGTCCGTGAAGTGCTTAACAAGAGTTTCCGGGAATTGATCAATCCAGCTTTGAGAACAGAGAGCTCTATCAAGTCTTGCACGAATACATGCCAACCCCATTCGTCTATTTTTCCAAGTGAAAGGGTCACCTTGAAACCCAGGGTCATGCAGACCTAACATTTGAATAAGATTCCGGAGGTCCAAAGACTGGGATGCATTCCATGGATTCCCTCCATCTTTTTCATTCTCACAAAGGGTTGCATTAAAATCACCAATAATCACAAAGGGATCGACAAGATTCTCACAAAGCTCACGCAACTAGGTCAACTGCATAGCACGTCTCGCAATATTGCAACTCATATAGACGCAGACAGCAACATAAGAAAACCCATTCTCATTAATTCGAATACAAATACAAAAAATCGAATGGAAAAACACTGAAGCCTCAACTTCAGGGGACCAAGCAACTACAAGACCACCAGCACCATCAACAGCATCCACAAAGAAACATTGAGAAGACTTAAAACCTAACCCCCGCATTCTACGGGAAACTACTCTCCGGCACGATCTTGTTTCTGAAAAGAAAACAAGGTCCGGTTTATTTGACCGAACTAACACTACTGTTGTTTGGAATGTGAGGGATGGCCCAATCCCTCTCACATTCCATGCAAGAAGCCTCATTTATCCGGTTGGGGCCACTCCTGGCTGGCTACCTCCACCACTTCATTACCACTCTGATCTTCCACAAATTTCTTCTTGGGTGTTGGACTTTCTCCAATACCACCTTCCATCTCTTGAAGCGAACGTTTCCGGGACCCATTGTCAAAGTTCGACCCATATTCATTCAGCTTCCTAATCATTTCACCTTGGGCATCCTCCAACTGTTCCTTTTCTTCATTGATGACCATACGAGCCTCAAAGTCAGCAACCACCTGCCGAACATGTCCCGAGTTAATCGGTCGAGTAGGATCAGCCGTGGGACTTCTGTTTTTAATTTCAAATTGCATATTATCATCCTCCGAGAGAGAGGCCACAGAGGCCACCTTATCCTCGGACTTCTCGCCCACTTCAACAGCGGACTGGCCCATAGCTATCACCGGCGAGCCGCCAGCTTGAGGGGACAGCTTCTTCCCCTCCTTGTTGCCTTTACTTTTGCGAGTGCCCTTCTGCTTAGAAGCACGACTAGGGCCAGCAACCAGGTTCTCCTTCCCAGCAGACACATCTCCCATCATCTTGGAAGAAGCTGTCTTTTTTTTGTTGACACTCCGAGGGACAGCTGCCGGTTTCCCTTTCTTTGCATTCCCCTTGGCATCTCCCAACTTCACCAATCTCTTCCCCTTCTTCTTATCCTCGCTAACCACAACAGATTTCATTATGGGAGCTGCTGAGAAGATGGGATCATCATCAGAATCCTCCAGCAGCAGCTTTCGGCGGCGAATTCCCGAAGGAGGAAGCTTGACCCCAGCCTGCTCCACCCATTCCTCCACATCAGCCACTTCCCCAAGAGCATGAACACCTCGGGCCTCTAGGTCTTCTTCCTCGGAGTCGGCCCATCCCTCCCGACGCGGAGTGACACGACCTCTCTGCCTATTCCCATCTTGATCATCACCAGTTGGCATGGGTGCACGTGGACGAGCAAGTTTGATTTGTGGTGACCTCGCCACCTTGAAGCCCCGCGGGCTATACCCTCGTGAAGCTACCGCAGGTGCCGGGGACGTGGCAGCCGAAGAGGCATGATGATGGGGACGCGATGGGTGAAGGTAAGCCCCCCTTGCTCGTTAAGAATCCCACCACCAATCTTATTATTCCTCTGGTCCCTATAATTTTTGTTAACCCACACCGATTTAGGTCCTCGAGGGAAGGCCTGATTATGGTCTTCCGTTTCAAAAATTCGTGTCCCTAGTTTCCTGGTAGACATATGAGGCCCGAACCTCTCCTTGCGAGTTGGTGGGTCGAAAGTGCAAGCACTGCTGGAGTGCCCCACCCTACCGCAATGAAAGCAGAAGCTCGGTAGGTACTCATACTTCAGACTCACCCAGAAACACCTTGAATCATCAATTGAGGCCATGATTTGCGAGCGGAGCGGCTTAGAGAAATCATCCAGCGCCCTGACTTTCACGAACCAAGGGCCCGTGTCCTGGCAAGCAAACACGCCAGATTCCAACACTTTGCCAATAGTGGTATTCACCACTTTCCTACCAAACTGGTGCGTACAACAGTCTTCTTTCACGTCCCATAATTGGATACGGAACGGGGCAATCGCAAGCTCGTCAAAGATTTGCTTTGTTATGACAGGGACCCACGGGCGTAGGTGAAGAATCTTGTTATCAATAACCCAGGGAGAACGTTTCAGCACCCAATTCTTGATCTCCTCACTTGGTAGCACAAACTCAACTAAACCATACTTTGCCATCACCACCCTGATACGTCCCTGGATTAACCAATGAGTAAGCACCGAATCCCTCGGCTCTGTGGTTGAGATCCTACTATCAGTAAAGAGCCGGCCAAGCAGCGAATGGGCAGTCCGATATTTTGTTGACTGCACTTCTTCCATCGCTAGCTGCACCACTTGATCTGACGTGAGCCATTTTGTCAACCTGAAGGCAAGGGACAATATTGTTATTAAACGACATGTTCTCCTCCTGCAGAGACGGACAAGCCATGGCCATGCATACAGGTCGGATGGTATCATGGTAAGGGAGTTTAAGAAAGCAATCCAAAGGAGTATTTTTATGGTAAGCAGGCAAAGGCTTAAACGGGATGCAGACTATCGAGTTAAGCCGCCAGGGGAAGACAACAGTACCTGAGCGAGGAGAACAGCTGGGAGGAGCTTCGCCTTGGGATGCTCTCGCTGAAGCCCTAGCTCGTGAATTGGAGTATAGACGAGTAGTAGGGTAAAGGCTGAGAGTCTTATATAGGCAGCTAGACTCCACCCCAAACTTCTCCTGAACCGCTCGGAATAAAGAATTTAGAGACTGAACGTAGCCAGGACTCTTATTCTGAGGTAATGGGATAATCTTGATAAAATTATTATTTGTTAAAATCCCATTCAAAAATCCAGGATTCTTTTCCTGAGATAATGGGGTAGTGTTACAAAAATTAATTCTTTGAAACATCCTGCTAATCACTGAGGACGGATCAGGAAGGAATATTTCCTTAACGACTTCACGTGAGGCCGGCCGTCCGATCCGAGATTTTTCGTCGGAGTCTTGCCGGTCACCGGAGGGGGGACCATCATCACACCGATTAAGATTTCTCCCTCGAAAAGCCAACCCAGTGCCGATCCTTTCATCTTTAGCTGGGACGATAACCCTGGGCGCCGTACCAGACTACCGGTGGCTACCAGCAAGGCTTCGTTTTCTGTTCTCCCCTCTTCTTCCAGCTCTTCCAAAGAGGGGATAATAAATTTCCAGGCGACTCTTTTTGACAGCCGTCGTCGTTTAGGTTTTCCCAGAAAACCACTTGAATTTTCCGTCCAGTATAGACCGAGCTTCCTTTTACCATTCCTTCCAGAGGAACAGCGATCATCCATAGTCGCCATATCCGAGTCCGAAGTGTCATCGCTCGGATGGCGACCAGGCAATAGTGTAGAATCTTTAATAGACTCAGTCTCCATCACTTTCCGATGGAGTTGAAGGTAGCGTGACAGGCTAACCTTCCAACTCTGATCTAGACGCTGATTTTCCATGCAACTGGAGAAGATTGAGATAACCATTGACATCAGAAGACTGCAAAGGAGAGCGGGGAGAGCTTTCCCCATCTTTTTTTTTTTTTTTTACGGAAGTGCTGCCACAGTTAGCTAAGTAAGTGACGATAGGAGATTTATTGATCCAAAAATTAAGCACATCAAATCGCCCATGGATAATGATTTTTTATTTATGGGTCAATATCAAATTGCAAATTGAAAAGACTTAGTTGCCTACTCCTAAATAGGGGTGTGCAACGGTTTTATTCGTACTTGGATCATATCTGATTCTTACTCCTAAAATGCCTTTCATTATTGGACCGTAATTATTGTCAATTTGATCCCGTCCGAACCATTGCACCCCCTTAAACCCAAAGGCCTAAGAACAAAAACAACAAGCGGTGGCCCAACGTGATCTTATTGGGCTTTAGCTTCAGTGAGCCATCTGAAGATATGGTTAATGGGTCATTAAGCAATCCCAGACTCAACGAATCCAAAGCCACAGAAAAAACTGTGAGAAAAATGCTAAATACCCAAATAGAAAAGGGAGGCGGAGTGGAAATGAATCAAGTTGCCGGCAAAATTTCGAGGATGAAATGTATGGGAACAGGAAGGACAACAGAGCAAAGGAGGAAGGGATAATGCCCAATTGAAGTTTCAAACCTCAGAAAGCCAACCAACAATGACGACTCTGCTCACTCCTCCTCCTAAACTTCTCTTCTCTACCGACAGTCGAACCTGCTGCCCTCTGCAGCCCCTCGCATCTTCTTCTTCATCTGCTCTCTCCTCTAACCTTTCGTTCTCACTCTCGCTTCCCTCTCTCCTCAAAACCACCACCAGTAACAGGAAGAGGAGATGGCGAAGGCTCTTCTGTCAGGGAAAAGGCGCGACGAACGGCACCGCCGTGCAAGTCGGCCAGCAGCGTCTTCTCAAAGTTCCGGTCCCGAACATCAGGAATTTCAGCATCATCGCGCATATCGACCACGGGAAGTCGACCTTAGCCGATAAATTGCTTGAGACCACTGGTACCGTTCAGAAGCGAGAAATGAAGGATCAATTCCTTGATAACATGGATTTGGAGAGAGAGCGGGGCATCACCATCAAGCTTCAGGTTCTTCTACCACTACTGTCTGTTTGCTTTTACGACTTCATTCAAGTAGCTATAGTGCGCCTTTGATTTCTTATGCTTTGGCCAATTGCTGCTCTTCTTCTGGTTCCAGGCTGCTCGAATGCGTTACGTGTGTGATGGTGAACCCTACTGCCTCAATTTGATTGATACTCCTGGCCATGTAGACTTCTCCTACGAGGTATTGGTTCCAATTGTAATCTCGTGAGTTTTGGAACTAGCTAGACTGTAAAAGAGCAAGCATGCGATGGTAGGTTTGATAGTGAACTGAGTTCCCTCCGGAGATGGCTGATTCTATTTAGGTTTAGACCTCACTGAAAATCTGAATATGAAGCATGATTATGATCACAGATTCCGCTGAATATCTACTCGTAAGTACTTGACTTCGCACCGTGTTTGAACAGGTGTCTCGTTCGCTTGCTGCTTGTGAAGGCGCTTTGCTTGTTGTTGATGCTTCTCAGGTGAACTTTTGTCTAACTTCACAACTTCTGTATCCAAATCATGCTTAGAGAGTTACTTACTGCGTTGTGTAATCTATGCTTATGTTGATTGCTGCTTCTCTGATTAATTGTCGTTGAATGTATTTTTTCCTGATCAGGGAGTAGAAGCGCAAACATTGGCTAATGTTTATTTGGCTTTGGAAAACAATTTAGAAATTATTACGGTAAGTCATTGGCAATGCTTGCATCTTGTTTTGGTCCCTCACTGTTTGACTTGCTCAAAATTTCACTCATATCGTTCCTTTTCTATTAACAGGTTTTAAATAAAATTGATCTACCAGGTGCTGAACCGGATCGTGTTCTCCAAGAGATTGAAGAGGTTGGTGCACAGAATGGAGGAATCCATATGTTTGATGGGTGTGTATCTATAATGAAGCTTAATTTGAGTATGCATGCCTTAGATATGCTTTACTGCTTTATTGGTCAACTTTGTTTCAGTTTCATTTATCTTGCTGGAGTGCGCGTATCTAGGTCCTTCGGTAAATTCTAGAAAAAAGTTTATAGTAGTCTTTCTGCCAGTTGATGGTATTGGGCTTCTTCTGCTGAACTTAACGGTATATTAAGATAGTTGTTTGATAAGTTGAATGTAATCCTTGATGGCCTGAGAATATGGGGTTATTTTGTTTGTAATACAGGAAAACTGATGGAAGCTTACTGATGTATTCCTGCAGGTTATTGGCTTAGATTGTAGCAATGCCATTCTGTGCTCTGCAAAGGTTTGCTTTTGGATTTTGCCATGGCTGTAACGTGTCAACCTTCTATGATATTACTAATTCTCAATGGTTGAACAGGAGGGTATCGGGATAACTGACATTCTGAATGCAGTTGTGAAAAGAATTCCCCCACCCACTGATACTTCTCAAAAGCCCTTGCGCGCTTTAATCTTTGACAGGTATGTGGTATCCTGGTTGCAGCACTTTCTTTTGCTACTGCGATGTACCCACGAAATGTACCCTGTACTTTTACGCCTTTATGACCCTGGCGTAATTTTGTGCAGTTACTATGACCCATATCGTGGTGTTATTGTGTACTTCCGTGTGATAGATGGGACCGTAAAGAAAGGTGACAGGATTTATTTTATGGCCAGCAAAAAGGTAATTCCCATCAGAATATTTTTGCCTGTAGGTATGTACGCGGATGCTGAATTGTTTTTCCTCTTTTGCCAACAACAGGATTATTTTGTTGATGAAATTGGAGTTTTATCACCGAATCAGTTAGAAGTGGATGAATTATATGCGGGTGAGGTAATTCATGGTTCTAGTTCGTGGTGCGTTGTAATGGATAGTCTATGTATCACTGATTCCTTTCTTTTTTCCCCTCATGGGTCCCTTTTGCAACCCGTTTCTGCTATTTCCGGCTGAATTTCCTATATACTTCTGAAAACTGGTTCTATTCTTTTTTGGAACTACACTTGAAAGAAATACATAGCTCTTCAGTTCATTGGCAGGATCCCTTGTACTTTAATTTGTTTTCTTGACTAGTTTTGGTCATTATGTTTGAACTTTCTATGTACTTGGTATGTTTTCCATCCAGGTGGGTTACATCTCAGCTTCTATAAGATCGGTAGCAGATGCCAGGGTTGGTGATACTATTACGCACTTCAGTAGAAAGGCAGAGTCATCACTACCTGGATATGAAGAAGCTACCCCGATGGTCTTCTGTGGGCTGTTTCCGGTTGATGCTGACCAGTATGGAGATTCTCATTGATTTGTTAAATTAACAGATCACTACTTCTATCCATTAGTGTTTCTGATGAGCTCATGCTAATTTTTGCTGACAGGTTTCCTGAATTACGTGAGGCACTGGAAAAGCTGCAGCTAAATGATGCTGCACTCAAGGTATATGACCTGGGTAATCATTTCTGGATTATTGAGTTTCTGAGGGATCAAGTTAATAGTTATTTGTCTCTGGATGCTTTTGGAATTTGGCCTATATTCATACTTCACTGTTTCTGCCTGCTTATTTTGACTACTTGGGCCTTTGGCATGCCTTGCTCACAGTTTTTGGGCTGTAGGTTGGTCCTGTTTAGATTCTGGGTAATAGTCTCGTTTCCGGTGGCTCCTGTCCAATTTCATGCTCTAAACTGCAATCACTTCCTCTGAACTCCGCCGTGAACTTTGATTTGGGAATATTACTGAATAAGAATTTCTTCTGTTTGAATCACAACCTTGCAGTTTGAGCCGGAAACATCAAGTGCCATGGGTTTTGGCTTTAGGTGTGGTTTCCTGGGGCTTCTTCACATGGAAATTGTTCAGGTTTGCTTTACTTTATGGTTCTAAGCAATCATGTGAGTTTCGGTATATGCGCACCATTAATTTGTCCTCTTGCAGGAAAGACTTGAGAGGGAATACAATCTCAGCTTAATAACTACTGCTCCAAGTGTGGTCTACAGAGTGAACTGCACAAGCGGTGAAACTGTAATTTCTCGCCTTCATTAGAAAAGATTACTTGCCTTTTAGAAATTATGGGTCTGCTTCTATGCTGCATCCCTTACGCATTGACATGAAAATTTACCATGATTTTACTTGAACTAAATGCATAAGTATTTTTACGCTTATCCTTCATTTGGATCCACCGTCCGCCTGCATTAGATTTTGCATCATCTTGTGGAAGTTACTGTATGTTGGCCACCTTTAATGCTTGCATTACATAGTTTATTATTGCATAGGAGTAGTAATTCAGATCTCTACATTACCAGAAGGTCTGAAAATAATAATTCAGTTCTCTAAGCACTTTTTACATTAAAGTTCCATGCAATACGTAGATCAATCATTACTTTAATTCTAGACCTAGTTTTTCACTTGCTGATGGAAGTTCTTGTTGTTTGTTAATAATGCACACTCACAAGTTCTACATAGTGCTAACCCAATGATTTCATCCAATTTTTCTAAGGTGGAGTGTTCAAACCCATCTGCGCTTCCTGAACCTGGCCTGCGGAGATCAATTGAGGAGCCTTTAGTGAAGGTGATCCTTTTGCAATTTTCATTCTCTTAAAATGATGTTCAAATCTAGTACACGTCTTGTCCAGGGCATGGAAAGCATCACTTTACTCAAGCTTGAATTTCATACAGATTGAAATGCTTACACCCAAAGACTATATCGGCTCGCTTATGGAGCTTGCTCAAGATAGACGAGGAGAGTTTAAAGAAATGAAGTATATCGCTGAGAATAGGGCATCGCTCACTTACAAGTTGCCCTTGGCAGAGGTGGAGTTTGGTTTGTTGTTGCCAATTGGCTTCTAAAATCTACAGTCTTGTTGATTGCTAATTCTTTGACAAACTGTTCTTTTACAAGAGTCATTTTAAAAAAATTATCTGTGTATTTGTGTGACAGATGGTGGGTGACTTTTTTGACCAGCTGAAGTCCAGAAGTAAAGGATATGCTAGCATGGAATACACTTTTGTCGGGTAAATTATGAGGAATTGTCTTCGAATAAGATTTACGGTGGCATAATCCAAGCTTGTTAATTTCCCCTGCATAGTTGACTTATCTTTCTAGGGATATATTTCTCTTTTGGAAATTCGCAATTTAATGCTACACTTGACCCATTTCTTTCTAGGAGTGTCAAGCTAGGACATCTCAGTTACTTTAATTTATTTTGTGACCTGATCTTCTATATTCGGTCCTTTTTGGAGTTATGAAACATAGATCCAGTGAAAATGCTGAATTTTGATCAATACATAATGTAGTCCTAGTTGAGGGTCGAGTCTTGTACCCGTATCTCTAGAACCAACCAGATTTGACTTCTCTTTTCAGCAAGGCAATCTTTCTTACTCCACAGCCAGTGCCTTGGCATTGATGACCGTTCTCAAGTCTCCTTAATTCAAGTACGATTGCTAGTAGAACTGAGATATGTGGAACTAATTCTCCATTGGAATAGAGCAAATAGACCACCATATATGCTTAAACAACGGTCTCATTTTGTCAGTGTCTCAAATTCTTTCTTCGATGCTTAGATTGAAAAGTTCCTCACTTTGATGTCATAATTTGACCACTATGTTACTATAGCTGTCATGATGTGCTACTACTGAATATTCCATTGGAAAAAAAAGGCACTGCTGAAGTTGTTATGGGTTTGATGGGGACTTGTACCCGAGAAGGGCAATTTCTCATATTTGATGAAAACTGAAAATACCTCAATGGGCAAACTGACGTGACCACTAAAGTTGATTAGATGACTATTTTATAGACTTGTGTACGCATTTAATCTATCATGTTTCTGGTACACATTAAAAGTGATTCGGTTGATTGGTACTTTGTTGCTGTAATAGTCTTAACTCTTGGATTGCTGAGGAAATGATAAGAGGCTTGATCTTTTGTTGTCGTATTGATCGTTAGGTACGAAGAAAGTGATCTGATAAAGCTAGACGTCCACATTAATGGTGAGCCTGTTGAGCCATTGGCAACAATCGTGCACAAAGATAAGGTGAAAATATTTTGAGTTCAAATTTGGTTATTGGATAGATATTTATATCATTTAGGTCCACTTGAATGATGTTAACCAGCTGATGTGGCATTCTTGTTGTTTGTATGTATTGCTTCTGTTCATAGTTCTGTTGTAAGCTGATTTCCTAACTGGTTGCAACAGTTAGAAGAATATAAACCACGTAATAGTAGGATGAAGAGACAGGCCTGCTCATATTAGAGTTAGTTAAAAGCTTACAGATTATAGTTCGTGATATTTGCTGATTGTCCCCTGCAGTTTTGATTGGTTTTTTAAACAACTTGTTTAACAGTAAACATCAACGCTGCTTGCAGGCATATCCCATTGGAAGAGCTTTGACACAGAAGCTAAAAGAGCTAATACCCCGGCAAATGTTTAAAGTGCCCATTCAAGTAAGAGTTTCTGCTTCATCGTTTACAGTACCAATGGTGGTTATAAATCATAATTGAGTACTCAATTTCACAATTCTGTATAATGTTCTTCAAGCAAATTGTAACTTCCATTCTGTTTGACTATATTTCAATGTCTTGGATCAATCTGGTATGCATTATGAAGTGACGAAAAGATAGTCCATGCTCAACCTAACTCTGTTTTGGTCAAATTGTGTCTGCAGGCATGTATTGGTTCAAAAGTTATAGCAAGCGAGGCCTTATCAGCAATCAGGAAGGATGTGTTGGCTAAATGCTATGGTAAGTTACGAAGAGCGACTCTAAAGCGATTAATCCCGGTCAAGTCTCTTTTGGTAGCTTCTACTCTAGGATACATTGGTGCAAACAGTATTTACCATTTGTTTCCCCTTTTATGGTGCAGGAGGTGACATTACAAGGAAGAAGAAATTGCTGAAGAAACAGGTAAACTATTTCCGGTGTTCTATGCAGGGATGAGGTTTTCAAGGAACCCCTTGGGTTTTGAAGGACTATTCGTGCCGCCGCGTCAATTATTTATATATTTTTTTGTGTATTCATGGGTATGGTTGTTGTGCAGGCTGAAGGAAAGAAACGGATGAAGGCGATAGGAAAGGTGGATGTGCCTCAGGAAGCATTCATGGCTGTGTTGAAGCTTGAAAAGGAGGTGTTGTAAAAAAAGGAGGGAAAATTAACTGTAAGTAGCATTCTGAACAGTTGAACAAAGGGCGGGAAATTGGTTCCCCTTTCTCTCGTCTCGTTTACTGTTCTTCACATTTTGTTCCGGTTCATTTTGCTCTACACTTCTCAAGCCAAATGCAATCACAAGTATAAATAGGGGTATAAAGCATGGTCCATGAAATCGTATCGTACCAGCGGTTTAACAACAAAATATCAGTATTGAAGGCTAAACTGATAGGCAGTATTTAACGATACTAACCGTTGAACTACAATTAAACTACATTTTTATCATAAAATATCGTATGGCTAATTTTTCTGGCTTCACATGTGGAGGGTTGAGGGATTTGCGGATGATGGAGGTGGCGGTGACTCACATGCAGTCACCGAGAGAGGGAGAGGGTAGTGATGGTCTTTTGGGTGGGTTGGTTAACTAGCTTGGATTGGATATTGAAGGTTTGAGCTATCAAAATTGTAATGATGCGACTAGGCATAGGCTTACGTGTCTAAGAAATTATATTTTATCTCAAATCTTTAATTTAGATAAATAGAAAATTGAAAGGATGCATAATTTAATGACTTTAATGGTATATGATGTTCCCTAACTAATAAAGTCTTGCACAAATTCCGATAAAAAAACATCATATATGATGTCAAAATTTTACTATGATGGTATAGCTCACAAATTTTACTATGATGTCGAAATTTCGATAAAAGTGAAACTTCAGTGATATGGTGGACATTTTACCGATTTTACTCCAATTTTTTTGTGTTGTTATAATGTGTTAAGAAAAGATACACATACAATCGTGACATTTAAATAAGGATGGTTTAAGTAAAAATTAGAACAACGTTCAACAATTCTCGTTCTTATATACACCAATTTGAAACCAACCCTTTGAATCAATACAACACAAACCTGCTCTATATCAGACACACAATGCCCCAAAATCCTGCACCATCAAATCCAAATGTGTCAAAAACACAATCACCCACCTACAGAGGATTCTGAGTGGAGTTTTGACCCTAAACAATCTCATCCTCCTCATCAGGCAACACCAAAGTCAACAGAGAATACTTGACCCTAAGCGATATCTTCCCCTTCTCCACATTCAGCTTCGCCCCTGAAACCACCCAGTACCCCGGCGTATCCTGCGGCCCCCTCGCCATCTCCGTCGTGTCCACGTACTTCAGCAGCTTCGGCGTCTGGCTAGCCACCGGCGGGCCGCCGGGATAGACCGCCGAGTTCAGCTGCACCTCGTTCGGCTTCGGAGCAGCTGCCGCCGCCTTCTGAGCCGCGCTCGAGAACCTCGTGCTGATCAGCGTCGATATGATCCCTGATTTCTGCGACGTGGCGGAGGGAGAACCGTCCCACTCCGCCCTCCGCACGGCGGTGGCTCCGGCGACCCTGGAGAAGTGGAGCCTGAGGAAGAGGACGTTCTTCAGCCCTGACTCGCCGACCTCGAAATGTGCGCCGGTCACGACGGAGAGGTCGTCGTCGCTCTCTACTGGGGCTGTGCAGACGTGGGAGAAGCTCTTCCACTGCACCTTCTCGTAGTACCTGCGGTCGGACTCGGAGGAAGCGGCGGATAGTTTACCGTTGGCTTTGTCTTGTTCCAGTTGGAATGTTTTGGGGATTGAAGAGAGGTGCTGCAGGTGGATTGCTAAGCAGTTGCTTCGTTTGCCTTCCAGATATAATCGAACACCTGTGACTGGTTTTCTGTCCACGTATACCTGGGGGGACGCAGGAAGTTATTACCGCCATTGTTAAGAACCTGAAGGGATCACTACTGGAAACTGAGACGAGAGTCTGATTAGGGGTATTTACCGGCATTGTGTTGACGTATAGTCTAGGACCCATGAAGCTGAATTGCAATGACGAATTGCCTTGGTGCTTCCTGTCAGGGCCAAGTGCGAGGTCACCAAATACTGGTGCCCAGTGTTTGGGGAGCTGGAACTCCAGGAATTGATGTAGCTCTACTACTGGTGGCTTATCTGCATGAAAAGGCAAAAAGCTGAGGTCGAACAAACAATCTATTGGAACCTTGATTCCAGAAATATGTGCATTCTGAGGATGTGTTTGAATTTCGGAAAATCATCTTCGAAAAGTGCAAGATGATGAATTCAGACATTTGAAAGAAACTTTGGGATTCTTGTAAAATTAAGATGGCAAGTATGAGAACAGAGTGGGTGCTTACAGCGGAGGTAGAGATTAATGGCATGTGTCAAGAATCCGCTTCCATCGATTCCACTCAATAGGGAGGTGATTGGAACAAAAGACATTGATATGACTTCAGGTTCTAACTGAACAGTGTGACACCAATCACTATGGGGCAGCCTTTTATCCAACCCACCTATTCTCTTGTGAATGAACTTGACATCCTGCAACCAGAGTAAATAATAGGATCTTAGATGCACATTTAGCTAAGCTTCTTGGGTACCTGAAACCTAATTGGAGAAAGGCCAGGCAGGGGATAGCTAAAAAAGAAAGGCAAGCTGAAAATCTAGTCACAGCAACTTCAGGCAACAGCCTCATTCCAAGAGGGATGTACCTCATCATTGGAATAAGAGTTGGCAACAAATTGGTCCATAAAAGCCAGGCTGTGCTCCTTCACAAACTGGAAGAAGAAGAAAACAGTTAGAGATCGTGAATGAATCTATTGTCGTCGCCTAATATATGACACATGTATGTTTCAAACCATTCTGTCTTGGTTTAGGCCTCCAATCTGGCCAGTTCCGTCTTTGAAGATTTCGTCTGCTAGGTCCTTCAACCTCTTCTTTACGTCAACAGGTTGGAGAGGAGATGTGTGCTGCTGCTTCACGTAGACCACATCCTTCCCTCCCATTTTCACGCCAACAATAACATGGGTACCATATTTCTCTATGAATCTGGAAAACAAATGTCAAACAACATAACAGGTTCAATAAAAAAGTTCTGCATCCGGGAAGAACTCATAAAAAGCACAAGGATAAGATATATTTCAGGAAACAAACAATACAATAGCTACTAAATGCAAATTCAGTTGGAGAATAAGTGGAGAGGCCCAAGGGAGAGGAAGGCAAGCTGCCATATCAAACTCTAGAAGTAGAAGGGTCATGTGTCTTGCAGCATTTCTTCTTGGAACACCCTTATGTTGTTCTCTTCAGATTCTCTACAAGAACAGCAATATCAATCTTCTCCCAGAAAACACTCTGCTAAATTTTTCAATCCCTGCAATATGGCTAGTCCTCTTAAATTGCCTCATCCGTGACACCCAAATTCTTTACTTGTGTCATAGGTAATATCCTAGCATTTTGACACAAGTTTATCTGAAGTTTTTCGGGGATATTCCATTCAGATAGAGATTCCAGAGGGAGCTTCCGTTCATCCAGTTAGTTGCATCCTCAAATTTCCCAAAGCTCTATCAGTAATCCAAGACATCAGATGCTTTACCACTCCTTTTTTATCTCCTGAACAAACTTATACACAGCGTAAGTCTGAGCCTTCCATGCTAAACCTAGTTTGAAATCAACAACTAGAATGCATCAAATTTCCCAAAGCTCTATCAGTAATCCAAGACATCAGATGCTTTACCACTCCTTTTTATCTCCTGAACAAACTTATACACAGAGTAATAGTCTGAGCCTTCCATGCTAAACCTAGTTTGAAATCAACAACTAGAATGCATCACATAACAACGATAGGGTCAGTGGATACAATCGCAGTCCTAGGTGGGTCTACCATTCCCGACCCAAGATTTCCAATTGAGAAATCTGTGTGAAGTACAATTTCAACCCTACCATCTTTGTGATCGAATCTAGTCCCTTGCACTTTCAGTCAAGGATAGAGATCTTATAGTAGCTCATGTTAGCAAGAAAATTGGGAGGAAACCATGCTCTTCCCCAGACCGATGCCTAATTTCAAGCAGAACAAGCTAGCCAGCACCTTTAATATATTCCTTTCTTTCTTCCTCCTCAACAAGGGTCTCTGGTGAAATCTTGCTAGCTGTTCCTACAATGCTCTTGAGGACAGTTTTGCCACCTTGATCAGCAAAGTTTGAACCCCAATCCATTGGGCGTGTTACTTTTTCCTCAATCCCCAAAAAACTGCTCTTCCTCGAAGGAAGCCGAGAGCCATTTTGATTTGTTTTTTTTCCCTTTCCACAACATTACAGTGTAAGGTTATGCAGCCTTGATCATGAAGCGTTTGATGAGGGAAGACAAGAACAGAAAGCAACAGAAAATTAGGTGGCAGGGATAGGACTGACCTTGCTAGTGCAGCGGGGTCCCATGACGAGGGAACAGCTTGCTTGATATGCTCTGAGAGAACGACCTGCGATTTCTGGAGAGCAATGCTGTAGAGCGTGATGAAGACTCCATCAAAAGCCATGGATTTAGTGGCCGAAGCATCCTTTTGCCAGACTCCAGTGAATTCAAAGGCCGTATTGAAAGAGCCCGTCGGGATTTTCCCAGAGAGCGATAACTCCTGGTTAAACTGCTCAGACATCTACAGCGGAGTAGGTGAGCGAGTTAGTCAACGACTCAGGGTTACCAGCCAAAAATCGATCAAACTGACGCCGAATCGGCCACCAATCACCATGGATAACGAGAAGCAACCGAAATTCAGAGTTTGAACAAGAGATAGAGAGAGAGGAAAACCTGCTGGAAAGAGAGGAGATCGGAGCTGAACCTCGTGCGCTCGCCTTTATCGCATTTGATCGATTTAGGAACGCCGGGAACGGAGAAACCAGCGGGAACTGGAACGGACAGACTGTGCAAGGAATTCCGCTCGTCGATGGCGACGAGCGAATGAAGCTTGCAGTACTTGAGCCGCAAATCGACGGTAAGGTCAAACCCTCGGCCGATGGCCTGAACCGCTGCCTCCGCGGCTCTCTCAGCTGCAGCCGCCATCAGCTTACCTACTACCGCTACCTCTGCTTTTTTCTCCTTCTGGCACCTCGCTATGCCGCTGCCGATGATGAGACTTGAGAGATCGAATTCGGAAACGAAGTAGAAGCAAAATTGTGCAGGAGAATAGTGACGACGAACGAGATCAATCAGAAAGTCTAAGTCGCAGGCTCAGTGGAATAAATATAATAATAAGAATGCTTGGCGTTGTTGGGAAGTTGATGCTGAAATTGTTGATGGGCGCGCGGTTGGCAGTTAGTTGATTGGGGGGGAGATGGCTGTGGCAATGGCGCGGTGCCCGCTTCTGCTCTGCTGCTTCCTGTCTTCTTCCTACTCCGGAATTCTACGGACAATTATGCTTCGACGCCGTAATTATTGTATTATAATTAATTCAGTTGCAGGTGATTAATTAGTAGTAATTACTTACTGTGTGAATGATATTTTATTTTTATTTGGGAAAGAGGGAGGGAAACCGGAGGAGTCGGGTCGGCCATCTCGGGATTATAATTTGAAATAATGGTCAAAATATGGTAATCCCGATTATGGTACGGTGCTGACACGAGAAGCGTTCAGCACGTGTTGATGTCGTTGTACGTTATGATGAGTCGTTAGATCACAGTGTGGTAATCAAACGGGATCAATACGAGTTGGTTGTCTCAACTTTGCCGTAGTCAAATTGATTCGGCCCACCTAGTTGTTGTTTTAGCTCATTTGTATGACGAAGGGAAACAAATCAAATTTAGAATCTTCCTTTGGTAAGTGAAAACATTGTTTAAGCTCTGCTTTAGGGAAATCAATAGCAATTACCACATGTGCATTGTTTACCAAAATTAATATTACATGTTGGTTTTAAATTTGATTTGTTTAACAAAATTTGACCAGTTAACCATAAAAGAGGGAAACTGACCAGTACAGTTTTGCCGGGGACGGTGGGCCGTGGGGTGAGTAGTTTTGGTTAAGGTAGTTTGGCGGGAAAGTCAGAGAAAGTGTGCGGTGCGGTCCGTTAACGGCATGGGTGGGCTCATGGGCTGCCAGGCCAGTGGTGCCGTCCAGCAGTAAAGGCGCGCATTCGCGGCACACGCCTGCTGACCAACGATCATTCTAGCAGCCGCGTGGTTGACTTTGTTTAGGGGGTGATGCAAATGCAATGAACCAATTCTCGACCAGATCAGACCGGTTTGAATTAGAAATCGTATTCTATTCCCTAATGACCTTTTTTTGTGGCTGACTGGCTGGTCCACTGATCAAATCTCATGGGTTTACGAATCAAATGGGATCTGGACTCCGTCAAAAAGTCAAAACACACAAAAAAAAGAAATACTACTATTTCTGAATACCTTTTAGCTGACTTGGTCCGCTAATTAAAACGTTCCAGCTTATCCAATGTAATTGAAGGACATGAACGGTGTGTTCTGCGTGTTGTCAAACCACTTGATCGGTGTAATCGGGTTCACTTGGTATTGGACAAGAATTGGATAAAAGATCACCGATGTCCGATGTAAACTGTGTTGTCGGACGTATGCATGTATGCCTAGTACGACGTCGTCCTTGGCGGTGTGCGTTTTGTTTAGTTTGTGTGGTGATTGGTAATTATGTTTGGCCCTAGTAGTCGGCCGAGTAACCCTAGGAGATTGTGACGTAGGGTTATATATATATGTTCTTGTAGCAGCCGAGCTGCGTGTGAGCAAGTATCAAAAACCCTAATAAAAGAACTGAAAGCTCCTTGTGTGAGCTTTCCGTGGATTAGTCTCGTTCTTCCGAACGAGGATACCATGTAAATCGGTGTCGTGTTATCAGTTTATTGTTGGTTTTTATCATGGTATCAGAGTTGTGAAGACGATCACAGGGTTCGTTCAAGTATGGCTGGCGGCGACGACAAAGACAAATCGATCAGCTCGTCCAGCGGCAGTGGTCTTAGTTCTGGGATGGATCCTTCATCCCCGTTGTTCCTCAGTCCGTCCGATAACCCCCAACCAAGTCTATGTTGGGGAGCTTCTCACCGATTCCAACTACGCCGACTGGATCCACGACATGACCAACTCGCTTCTTGCCAAGAACCAATTGGGTTTCGTCGACAGTTCCATTCCGGAGCCTACGGATCCGGTGCAGGCGGCGCAATGGAAACGGGTTGACGCTGTGGTTAAGGATTGGTTGACCTGCGCCATAGATAAGCAAGTCCGACGCGGGTTGCGTTACGCCGTCACGCCAAAACATCTCGGGAGGTTTGGAATGACCTTCGTGAACATTTTGCCCAAGGAAGTGCTACTCGTGTTTACGAAGTTTGACGCATGATCAGCCGTCTCCCGCAAGAAAAACTTACCGTCCAAGCCTTCTACACCCAGCTTCGTTCCTTGTGGGAAGAGGTACAAACCATGGCTCCTCTTCATTCTTGTACCTGCGGGTTATGCACTTGTGGCCAGGACAAGAAGAATCAGGAGCGTGAAGAAAATTTCCGACTCTTCGACTTTCTTATGGGTCTCGACGAATCCTTTTCCACCGTCAAGACCCAGACGATGCCCAGCCTCTCTGAAGCTTACCAGTTGGTAGCGAACGATGCCCATCAACGTCGCATTGCCTCGACGCATCGTCCCGCTGCCGAGGCTGCCGCTTTCTTCACGCGTGATGCTGCCTCTTCTCGTCCTGAAGGGAGGGAACGGACCAAATGCACCCACTGTGGAAAGTTCGGCCACTCCAAGGAAATGTGCTTTGATCTAATTGGTTGTCCAGAGAAAGGTGTTGAAGGTGGCGGGAAGCGCAAACCCCCTGATCGGCCACATTCAGGTCAGAAAGCGGCCAACGTCGAGGCCGCCGAGAGCCCTGTCTCGGGTCTCTCTCTCTCTCGCAGTTGGAACAGCTTCGTAACTTCCTCAAGGCAGATTCAGGAACTCTCGATATCGTCGCATCACATATGCAAGGTACTTTTTCTAGTCTCGGTGATTGGGTTATCGATTCCGGGTGTAACGAAAACATAGTAAACGATCAATGCATGCTTATGCGAGGCGCAAGTGAGACAGGTTTACAAGTTAGCATCCCAAATGGTGACACTATTGGGGTCGGTCGAATTGGTTCTGTACAGTTGGGGAATGGAATGGTTTTGCCCCGGGTTTTGTTAGTTCCCGAATTCAAGTGCAATTTGTTATTCGTTAGCCGTCTCACCCAAGACTTCCCTATCGCACTGATCTTCTTAGACGATTTCTGTGTACTACAGGACTTACGCTGCAAGAGGATGATTGGGATGGGTAAGCAGCGTGACGGGCTCTACCACTTGCGTTAGTTCGATGATGTCAGGGAAGCTATGGTCCATGCGACGCAAGGGAAGCATTCCATAACACCGGAGTTGTGGCATAGCCGCTTGGGGCATCCCTCCGGAAATCAGATTTCTTTGTTAACGTTGTCTCCAACTAGTTCTCAGTTGTTAACGGACCATTGTTCTTCGTGTTTACGAGCCAAACAGTCTCGAAATTCTTTCTCTTTGAGTTCAATAAAGAGTACTCGGCCTTTTGAGTTGATTCATGCTGATATATGGGGTGGTTACCGTGTACCATCTCTTAGTGGTGCTCACTATTTCCTTACTCTCGTTGATGATTACAGCCATGGAGTCTGGGTTTATTTATTGAAGACAAAGTCAGAGGTTGCTCGCTTCTTAGTTATGTTTTGTAATCAGGCAGTTCGTCAACACGGACAGGCCGTTAAGAGAATACAGGCTGATAACGGGTTGGAGTTCCAGATGAATTTTCTTAAGGATTATTATGAGCAGGAGGGCATAATTCTACAAACCTCATGCGTTGACACCCCCCCCCCCCAGCAAAACGGGGTAGTCGAACGTAAACACAGGCATTTGTTAGAAACAGCTCGCGCCCTTCGTTTCCATGCTAATCTTCCCCTGAAGTTCTGGGGAGAATGTGTTCTCACCGCGGCGTATTTGATCAATCGGTTGCCGTCTCGTGTTCTCGAGGGGAAGACACCTTTTGAGCGTTTGTTCGGGCGCGAACCTGGGTACCGCCACCTACGTACGTTTGGATGCCTTGTTTACGCGAAGAACACCAGTCATCACCTGGATAAATTCGAAGAAAGGGGGAGAGCTTGTTTTTTTATTGGCTATCCCATGGGACAAAAGGGATACCGTGTGTACGACCTGGAGAGCCACCACATTTTCACATCTCGCGATGTCGTGTTCTGCGAGGGTGACCTTCCTTTTGCTTCTCCGACCGAGCCTCCCGCAATGAGTTCCTCTGCTGCTGATCCTTTCCCAGCATAGGAGGTCGATGTTGGCCTTCAGTCAGCACCCCAAGACGTTCCCACGACCCCGGTCCTGCAGCCGTCATCGCCGGTTGCCTCTTCTCCACCTCGTGACTTGGCAAGCACGTCACCACCACCACAAGATCAAGGTCCAGGAGCTTCGCCTACCACCAGTCCCACTCCACCGGCTGGGAATTCTACCCCAGCTGCTCCCCGTTGAAGTCTCTGTCAACCTGTTCTGCCTGTTCGTTTACGGCATGATTACGAGGTCACGCTACCCACTTCTCGCTCAGTTACCACTGCCAAGTATCCACTTTCCGTTGTCGTTGACTACTCTCGTTTGTCTCCTCACCATGCTGTTTTTGTTGCAGCTGCCTCGGCTCTGTCTGAGCCTCGTAACTTTTATGAAGCTATGCAGTTTGCGTGTTGACGAGAGGCCATGCAACGCAAGATTGCGGCTTTGGAAGCCAACGGTACCTGGGAGCTTCAACCCCTGCCCCCTGGCAAGAAGGTCGTTGCTGCCAAGTGGGTCTTCAAAATAAAGTTCCGTCCGGATGGGACGATCGAGCGCTATAAAGCGCGTTTAGTAGCAAAGGGCTTCACGCAAATCGAAGGTGTCGACTATCACGACACGTTCGCTCCCGTCGCCAAGCTCGTCACTGTTCGCTGTGTTTTGGCTGTTGCTGCTCAAAAGGGTTGGTTTCTCCATCAGTTAGACGTCAACAACGCCTTCTTACACGGCGATCTCGATGAAGAAGTTTACAGGGCAGTTCCGCCCGGATTTACTCGACCGGGGGACAACCGTGTATGTCGTCTTCGTAAATCCCTGTATGGATTGAAGCAGGCTTCCCGAAACTGGTTCAAGAAGTTCACTGAGTCTCTCCAGAGCTTCGGTTTTGTTCAATCTCTCGCGGATCACAGCCTATTCACCTACAAGAATGGGAACTCGTTCACATTCACGCTCATCTACGTTGATGACGTTGTCCTTGGTGGGAATGATCTTGACGTTATTCAACAGGTTAAGACTCATCTTCACCAGCAGTTCAGTATCAAGGACTTGGGTACCTTGAAGTATTTTTTGGG